GTGTGTGTGTGTGGTGTGTGTGTGTGTGGTGAGTGGACATGGAATTTAAGGGTCTGCTTCCAAAGAACTTCTTTGCGCAGTGACAAAGGACCCTTGGTGAGGGCAGGCAGGACCTGTGGAGTTACATCCAGCCCCCCAGAGGCCTCCAGCTTTTCAGAGGCGGCAGTAGCCAGATTCTGGCTGAGACCCAGCTCCAGCGTTCTGGGTTTGGGGGCGGGTGGGGGCACCAGGTTGAATAGAAGTCTGTCCAAGCGGGTAAACATCAAGCCGACCTCCTGGGGGAGCCTCCAGAATGAGGTATTTAACCCTCACCACGCTAAGGAGAGCGGAATAACCTCAGCTGTTTCTAAATCGGGAGGTAAAAAAAAAAAAAAAATTGAAGGGAAGAGACAGGAACCTGGCCCCAGCTGACTTGACCAAGGCTCCCAAGCTGCCTGCAGAAGCGTGCCAGGGCCAAGGAGAGGGAGTGAGGCATCCTGACCTCGACGGGACGGGAAGGGAGGAGAGGAGAGCAGAGGAGAGGGGGACCAGGACCGCTGTGGGCTGCAGCCAGCAGGCGGAACAGCAGCTCCTTGTCGCCTGGCGGTTATAACGGGCTCGTCGCTCAGCGAGGGTTTGAGGTTTTCGGTAGAACAAACGGGCTCTTGTAGAGAGGGCCGGCGCCGCCTACTGGCGACAGGGGGCACTGCGCCGCCAGCCCCCTAGCCGCTCATCCCATCCCCCAGCCCATCGCACACAAAGCTGTCCTTTGTCGCCCGCCTCCCTCCCACCAGGGTCCCGCGTTTCACACTCACGTCGATGCCGTCAGATCCAGGTACTCCTGGCGGGCCCGGGGGGCCCGGCGGGCCCGGCTCTCCAGGCGGACCTCTCTGAAAACACACAGGAGGGTACAGCTCTTAACTGCAGGGTTTAGGAGGTCCTAGGAGCTGCTGGGGGTGAACCTTCCCCAGAGAGAAATCTCTCGCCGACTGCTGCGAGTTCTCATTTCTTGAAAATCCGCTGTGTATCAGGTACTGTTGAAGAAGTAGGGCAGGAAGAATAAAGGCATAGAGGAGTCGCTGGGTGGGGCAAACTGTTGACACCCCTGGCTGCTAATGCAAACGCTGGAGGTTTGAGACCATCCAGAGGTGTTTTGGAAGGGAAAAAAAAAAAAAGACACTTAATTCTGAAAAATCAGCTACTAAAAATCCTACGACACATAGTCTTATGCTAATGTACACGGGGTCCCCATGAGTCTGCGACATGCTCAGTGGCAACTGGAGCTGTAAAGTGTCACAGAGAAGTGGTGGAGCCAGGATTTGGTCCTACGATTGCTAGACTCCCCGCACTGAACCTTGTCGTCTGTTCTGTCTTGGTGAGGTCTGGATGGGGAGTGATCATTCAGATTAGTCACAGGTGGTTAGGAAGCTGGTGCTTTTATTACTGTTTTTAGAGGAACAAGAAGTGTAGACGGTGAATTGCTCCACCCTGTAAGGTAAAGGCCTGGAGGAAAGGTGGGGGGCGATAGGTTGGGAAAGTCAGTGCTTTCCCTCCTCTCCAGCACCGTCCTCTGCTCTGTCCTGGGGAGCCCTGTTGTAGGGGTAGGGAACTTATGCCCTCCTCATGTCGGAAGAGACAGGCTGTTGACCTAAAGGCGAGCTGCAGACCCCGCGCGCTCAGCACCGAGCATCACTGGGCGGGGGGTCTCCTAGCGGCGCTGAGCTCGCGGCCCATTAGTCCTCAGAAAAGCGGCCACGAGTGGCAGCGGCGTCAGGCTGGAGTCCTGCGAGGCGGCGGAAGCCGAGGCTTGGAAACCCCATGAATGGACACCATTGTCTCCCGCGCCACCTGGGCTCTCCTGGCTGCCAGGACCAGGCGCCAGCGCCTGTCCCGTGCGGCCTGTCTCCAGGCAAGGCGAGCATCTCCGGTCAGGGTTCCTCCGGCTCCCCGGTTTACTCACCTCCTTTTATGGAGCCACGATGTGCACCACAGACGTCCCCACGGAGGGACCCTGAGCGGGGACTGTCTTAAACTGTCCCCTCAGTTAGGAGGTGCCTCGGGTTAGAGGTGGGAGAGGCAGAGCTCTTCACCAGGCTCTAGGGTCTTGAGCCCCCGACCCCCACCCTGGACGCCCGCACGGAACGGACACGGGACTTACGATCTGCGCCAGGGCGAGTCCGAGAACCTGGAGGAGCACGAGCAGGCTGCGGGGCGCGGCCATGGCCGATCCGCGGCAGGACAGTGCGACCCTCGCACCGACGGGCACAGGCTGGGCGCGGGCTGCTCCGGGGCCGAGCCTCCTGAATAGCGGGGCGCGGGGCGGGTCTGTCACCTGAGAGCCGGGGAGGCAGGCCCGCGCCCTCAGCCCGCTCCGCCCTGCTCGGTCCAGCCGCCAGCCCCCACCCTCCAGCCTCTCTCCTCCCCTCCAGCTTCGCCTCTCCTTCTCGGAGGCCCCACCGGGTGAGCCAGGGCAGGACCCACAGCATCGCGCTCTGTCTGTGAGGAGGCAGAGCGCGTCTGGGTTCATGTATGGCCCTGACTTCCTGGGCCCAGAACACCCACAGCAGGCGCCCCAGGTCCGCAGACATCAATCCACTCTCCTCCCCAGCCTTAGGGGCCTGCAGAACAGGGGGGAAATTCTGTCCAGCCCCTATTCATCGGCCTTGGCTCCCCACAAGTCTTTCCTCTCCACATAGAAACACACGGGCTTCCACTCTCCTCCCCAGCCTTAGGGGCCTGCAGAACAGGGGGGAAATTCTGTCCAGCCCCTATTCATCGGCCTTGGCTCCCCACAAGTCTTTCCTCTCCACATAGAAACACACGGGCTTCTTCCATTTAAAGCATATTTAAAGCTTTCCCGGATGAGAGGTCCCTTGAAGCCTCTGTTGTCGTGTTGTGTAGAGTCGGAATGACCCATAGCGGACCTTCTGGTGGGTTTTTAAGAGGCAGTTAATCACTGAGGAGGAGATTGCCCAACTTTCTCCCCCAAAGCAGCTGATGGCCTCGAACTGCAGACTTCCAGATTGCAGCTCGGCATTTTGCCACTGGGCCACCAAAGCACCCTTCTGAACCCTCTTCTCTCCCTTAATCGCCATTTTAGGGGAGTTGTCTGCACCCCACCTCTAGACTTCCTCACTTCTCTGCTTCTGACCCCTTCTTCAGTCCGTTGGGCAGGAGGCTTGAAAGGGGTGGAGGGTCAGTGAAGGAGAGGAAGACCCTCAACCAGGTGTATCGGTGTAACGGTGACTGCCTCAATGGCTCTTGTGTGTCAGGAGGGATGAGGATGGAACAGGATAGAGCACGGTTCAGATCTGTTGTTCATAGTGTCGCTAGGAGTTGTCCTTGACTTGTGGGCAGCGAATCACAATAATCCTTATGGGAGGGGAGCTCAGCTGGCGATGTACCATTAACCTCCAAGCCCAAGAGTTGCTGGCAGATGGAATCCACCAGTTGCTCCAAGGGAGAAAGTTGGCAATCTTCTCCTGTTTGAAGGAGGGTCAGCTATGAGTCTGTTCAACTTGACAGTAATAACGAGTTTGAGGTTTGCTTTTTTGTCTGTTTTAAATCTTTATTGAAAAGAGCCCTAGACTGTTAACTGAAAGCCTGTGAGTTCTAATTTAGCAACCATTTCCTGGAAGAAAGATGAACACTTTCCAATCATAAAGATTTACAGCCTCAGAAATCTAAAAGAGTCACTATGAGTCTGAATCAGCTCAATAGTTGTGGCTTCATGTGAGCAGCGCAAGTGATAAAAACCCAAACTGTTTCAGGAAGTAGCTTATGAACAAGAGCCAATGGAAGGAGGTCGTTAAAGCTGCACTGAAGGCATTGCAAAATTAAGCTCCAGGAATTTTATGGGATCTAACAGATGCAGCCCTGGACACGCCCCCTAGTCTTCTATGCCAAGAAATTTGGAGGACAATTGCCTGGCCAACTGACTAGAAAAGATTCATATTTATTCTCATTTCCAAGAAAGATGATCCAACAGAATGTGGAAATCATTTAACAACATCATTAATATCACATGCAAGGAAAATATTGCTGGAGATCATCAGCTAAGACAGTACTTTCTTAGAGAACTGTCAGAAGCTCAAGCTGGATTTAGAAGAGGCTGTGACACCAGGGGTATAATTTCTGATATTAGATGGATTCTGGCTGAAAGCAAAGAACATCAGAAGAATATTTTTGTTTTATTGACTATGCAAGGCATTTGACTGTGGATCATAATAAATTATGACTAATATTGATAAGAATGTGAATCCCAGAATATTTAATTGTACTTATGCGAAGTCCACAGATGTAATCGATCTGATTCCTATGCATACCATCAGGAGAAATCCAGGTATATAACCTGTGTTTATGTCTCTTAAAAATGTATTTGCTATGAATAAGTTATTGATTGTGCAAAATTCGATCATTCTCTCTCCAGCTCCATTTCTGTCACCGAGTCCATGTTTTCCAAC